GAAGAGGTTTCAGCTCTATCTTCCAGAAGACAAACTCAATCGAAGTCACTTTGAAGGTACAGGTTACTTCATAATTCAATGAAATCAGTAGTTCTCAAAGTGATTTTTAATTATTTCTCATCACAACAACATTTGACGAAACATTACAACATATTCCACTTCAGGCAGCCACTTTTGCCGATGGGTTAGCGAATGATTCATAAAAAATTAGTATTTTTTGGTTTTTACTTTCACATTGTGATATCTGAACCAAAGGAAAAAGAAGGCAATCAAGAAGAGGTTTTACCTCTATCTTCCAGAAGACAAACTCTATCGAAGTCGCTTTAAAGGTACAGGTTACTTCATAATTCAATGGAATCAATAGTTCTCAAAGTGATTTTCAATTCTTTCTCAACACAACAACATTTGACGAAACATTACACCAGATTCCACTTCAGGCAGCCACTTTTGCCAATGGGTTAGCGAAAGATGCATAGAAAATTAGTATTTTTTGACTTCCCCATTTTTATATTCGATATAAAGACAGAAAGAAATCAAGTCAAAATTAACTCTTCATCAAGATGTGCGGATCATGCACAAAAACTTCTTTCCGAAAAAAAAGCACATAGAAACCTATAATTCCACATGAACAATAGATTACACGAAAGAAAAAGTCTTCTCGACAAAAATACTCTCCAATGAACAATTAATCATACAAAAGTCACGTAATTATGAACAAATACTCTCTTTTCCATTCGAGAGACGCACCGCGCACAGCTACAATGCTGTATCCTCGTCTATCGAACAGAATAGCTCGCTCAAACCTCTCTGTCGCACATCTTTATTCGAATCAAAATCTTCATTTTTTATTCTATTATGAGATTCATTCATTGAACAAATGAGTATGAATAACTGGTATCGACTTATCTGTTTATAACTGTCAATCCAATGGTCATGCCAGCAAATGTTTGTATATTTATAGGCTTCATACTTACTTTCGATTGGTATGAAATCTGTTCATCAAACAGATCAACATAATGTTTGAAAACATTTTTTGTTTCATTTATAAGTAAGCATAATCTGACCTGGATAATTTCAGCCACTAAATTCGCGTTTCACTCTTCAACACAGTACGTTTCGTATTAAATTATTTTCATCCTTTAAACATGTGTCGCTTCAAATTCGTACCAATTTACTACGGACCAAAATTGAATATGACAGGAAAATAAAATCCAGCTGGAAAATTTCCTCCCAGACTACAAACGAGGCAATTACTTGAGTGCTCATGACTCACCTGTAGACATGTTTACCTAGGATATGGATCGAACTTCAAAATTTATCTTGGCTGTCTCCGCTTCCAAAGGAAAACGTGAGTCTCCATGAAACCCGGAATCAATCTAATTCAGCTCCGTATATTTACTCATGAGTTCGGGACCAGCTTCAGAAAAGTGTACGAAAAAGTTTGGATTGGAGTTATTTGGAAATTCTGGTAGTATACAAAAAAGAGAAATGTGAAGAAATTGTGAAGTATTTTACAAAAAACAGGTGCAGGTGGAAAATAATATAATTCTCAGTGGTCAAAGGTTATAACAATGTGAAAGATGTATCATCTGGATTGTTTCATATTGTTATGGAAGTTTTGGTCAGAAAACACTTCAAAATTTTCAGAATTGTTTCGATCTATTACCATTACCAATGTAAGCTCCATCTTTATTGAAGTCCCAGCGTCAACTCACGGAACCATTACAGAGTGTTATTACCTAGGGAATAGGCAGATGGAGACATCAGTATAGTCATAGCTTCTTGAAAATGACTTCAAAGTCGAAGCCGAAAAGTCGAACAACTGCAAAAACCATCCGCAGTTCATCCCAGACTTCAGATTATCATCAGATCAGCAATTTGATGTTCTGTAGTCGGAGTTGAGCTACGTCTGTAGTTTCCCTCTGTTTGACGTTTCGAATTCCGCTTTGAAGCGAATTTGAAGGTATAGGACAGAGGTATAGAGCAGAGGTATTGCTATTATACTATAACAATTTTCAATTGAAGATGATTCATTAGCAACGTCGCAGTTGAAGTGACCAACGGATAATCCTGTTACCGACTCTGCAGAGGCGTACCAAAATATAGGTAATTACGTGAAAATTGTTAGAGTGTGTAGATGTGTGGCGAGACAATATTGACCTCCATAATTCCGGTGATGTCTGTGATTCATCTTGTTTATTGAGGCAGTTTTTCTGTAGCAATGGTTTTAGTGTTTTTGAAGCTTATCGTGTGGCCCATTTGATGGTGGCTGGATCTGATTTGCGAACAGCTAGTTTATGTTCATAGACTCTGTTGGAAATTCTTCTATTGGTCTGGCCAATGTAGGTTTTGGAGTAGATAGAACGTGGTAATTCAAATATACCATGTGTCTTACGTTGTGGTTATTCAGAAAACGTCGGTAACAACATGGGTGTAGGGAAGAAATGCTTTTGACTGGTCCAGTAATTTGGAGTGTGGGGTATGGGTTTGCTGTCTTTGAATGGATCTTTGGATTTGGGAGAAGAGATAGTCGTTTCGGGGAAGAGCAGCTTTGAGTAAAGTTCCCTGGATCTATTGTTAGTATCAGTGGGTCTTATACATCGATGTATAAGAGAATTCAAAACGGAATTCAGCTTGGCAGGATGATGATGGGAGTTAGCATTGAGATAGAGATTGGTACGGGTAGGTTTTAGGTAGACAGTGTTTGAGAAAGAGGTCTTGGACTTTGTGATGAGAACGTCCAGTGAGTTATTATCTTCGACTTCCATTGCGAATTTTTGGTTAGGGTGTGGGAAGTGGATGTGGTTCAGGAATGCATGCAGACCTTCAGATCCATGGGCTCTGGTGTTTGCAAGAAGTGGAGAGAGTGGAGAATCCATCAGGTAACCTTTCGATTTCTCGTTTTTTTGGGTTGTTTACATGGTATTGTTGAAATACGCGCGTTTGTTGAAGTACGCGCGATTTTAAAACTCGAATTCAAACACGCTGAGGCTTACACAAAACGAGCAGAATAGAGTTCCAATAGAATAATGCACGTTTCATTCAAATAAAGCGGACACATAAAACAATCCCATTCGAGAGCTGCAGCAAACAGGCGCCAGATAATCAACAGGGCGGATCATTTATACAGAACGGATTCTGCTTTCTCGTACATCATCATCAGTTGTCAATATGGAAAAAATCGAAGGGAAATTGCGAGAATAGCATGTTGATGTCCACTACGTTCTCTTCGTTTGACAGTTTGTACAAGATTTATCACATCGTGTGAAGTAGGGTTCTGCATACGTTGTTATGAGCTGATTTTATAAACTGTGTGACCAAGAAATAATGATACACTGTGCAGTTCAAGTTTTTCTAAGGTTATCAATCTGATGTTTGGAATAATGGAAAAGTTCATCATGACCAATCAGGCAATTGAATTTCTTTTCTGTTTCAACTGAAAATGATTATAAAACAATAGTTCTGAGGGAAACTGAGTTTAGTTTTCTGAACTATTCGATACAGATATCATATCAATATCAATACAACACCTTCAAATGTCATGTGTTGTCTTCTTGAAGAACAATTAATGTCTGACTCTGACTATTTGAACTCAATGAAATTAAAAGTGATCGATACCTCACTATGCGTTTTAATCAACCAGAAAACTGGACACACATGAGGTTTGTTAAAATAACTTTTTCAAATAATTTTTTTTGGTAGCTACAGCGAGGAGCAAAATATCGAGGATTTGTTCTTTTCGCGGGATCGCAGTATACTGAGTTTGAGGTTATCACGCATGCTGAGAATTGCAAAAAGTGCAGCCTATGGAGATCTACGTCTGTAGCAAAAATCAAAGCTCTGCTCCCAAAAATTACTAAAATGCAGGGGTGTCTTCGTCTTAAGTGTGTCACACTGACCCTCTTACTCTGGGAACTTAGAGGGTAGTAGATAATAACATTTTTTCACAATGCAAATAAATATGGGTTCTCACAATCTACTACACCATTTATTGTCTTCTTTTTAGAGTCGGGAAGTAAAGGTAAAAAGCTTGATTTGAACGTTTTTTTAAGCGGTGTATGAAATAGGGACGCAGATTCACCACTGAGATTTGTTTTGATAGAAATTTATTTTTTTATTGAAGCCAACCCTAGTGTGGCATGGTGGGCCTACCAACCTATCATAAACGAATGCGTATACAAAATTTCGTGTCCCTGCTATTTACCGCTGAGGAGATCTCTCGTACGGAGCCGATCCTGGCAGCAGCATCGGGTCACGTTTATGATTAACATGCATTGTCATCGGTTCTGGGCCAGGATGCGAAATTTCAGGTCAATCGGATACCAGGAAGTGGGTCAAATTAAACTTGCAAGATTTATTAACAAACATACAAGTCAAGTTAAATAAAAGCTTTCAAAAATACAATTCAATACAGGGGTGGCTCGTAAAATATGTAACTCGAATTCACAAGCAGATGTTGGTTTAAATTTTTTTTTTTTCATTGCAGATCCCACTCCCGCGCACCAGCCTAGGCCATCTTTCAGCGTGGGAGGTCCATTAGAGTTGAAACAGTGGCGGCGTTCACGTGCAACGACGAGGCTCTGGGGCGGATAACGGAATGCACGCCAATGTGCACGCGGACCGGAACGAGTGGCGACTGCCGCCCGACGATACTCTCCAGGTCGGCGAATCGAAGACCAAAAAGTCCGAGGTAGGTGACGAAGAGGTCAGTACTCGATGGGGGACGCGGTGGAGGCACCACCTAACCTAACTTCTGGATTTTCCCTTAGTTTCGTTCGGGCAGAGAACGAACCGAAGCGGGCATTTTTTGCAAGAAAATATATGCGAGATTTTCATCGTTGTTATTATTATTATTATGCAAAGAGTTTGGTGCTCCAACTGATATCATCTCTGTTGTTTGAAAATAGATGAACAATTTAGTTTTTGTCAACCTTCTGAACTTATAATATACCTATGTTAAGGAAGTTGAAAAATAACAACGTTGGTACGAAAACAAAAAATCAACAACATGAAACTAGTACCACCATCTGTATCTGTAGAGTAGGGAGGTTGAGTGTAGGTCCACAGCAGTTAGACCACATGTGTCCCATTGCACATCCTCCCAAGAAGTTGTCCTATTAAGTCATCGTCCATCCTGTCGTTTCCAATATGTATTCTACAATACATATATGAAAATTAGTCATATAAATTCAAGTAACTCCTATTTTCAGTTACGTCATTCACCTGGTACCTGCCCAGGTGTTACAGGGCGAGCTCCACAAGCACGCAGGTATTCAAAGAACATGGGACGCTACTGAGAACGTAAGGTTTCATCTATATAAAAATAAGTTATGTCTGATCGCTCTTGAATCATAGTCTATAGTACCTAATGTATATGTATCCATGTAGACTATTGGATATGACATCTGGACATCAAGACATTTTGACATACGTCAAAAAAAATAAAGCTATTCATGATATGACGCGGAAGTTTCGAAGTGAATTTTGAGTTTTCAAAGCGAATTAAGATTGTTTTCCGAAACATCGACTACTAAATAAGGTATATAAATCGAGATGTTTTATGACTGATCATTCGAAAATAAATTATAGTGTACCGGAAAAATGTGATGGCAATTTTGTTTTGTTCTCTGCCCAGAAAGCAACTTGTGCATCCCGAATGGACCTCTAGTGGTATGTCTTAAAAGGAATGAGTACTGACTATAGTTTTAGTATATCAATATGATAAGCATATCAACCATTTCAAAAAGAGAATTTGAAAAGAAAAATGTATCATTTTACATTCTTTTTTGTATATTTTAGTTAAGACAGGTTTTTATTCAAGAGTTCACCAAAAACTGATTCGTTTTTTGTGTATATTTTGAATTTTTTCAGAATTTATTTATTGGTCTTTCGTTCAATTTAAATCGTTATATCTCTGCTGAAATTCTGATTCTTCATGTCTTTCATTCACAAGATCTGAATTCAACTCTATGATTCGAATATGTATTTTCGAACCAGTTTTTGTGTATCCGCCACGACTGTTAGAATTGTTATTGAAATCAGTGTTTTAGAAATCTTCAAGAACTTCATGTTTGCAAAATTGCACACCAAAATTGCACACCTACGGTCAATAAAATATATGATTTTTTGAATCATTCGTGAATATTTGTTCTCAACCACTTGAAATTGGAATGAGGGATTCGAACATATCTCAAAAATGAGACCCTCAAGCTACGAAGAACTCTCTATTTGTATATATATTCTTCATTAACATTTCTAACAATGATCGCAGTTGGTACCTCAGTTATAGTAAACACGAAGTCAATTCGAATGTCATAACAACTAAATAGTTACCGAACGTCGGCAGTTTTTTGTATGGCATGGGCGGCAGGGTATTATTTTGGGAGGTTTTATAAAGTATCAACTAGTAAATTTATCAGACCCGGTACATTAGTCTTTGAGGTGTTCGGATTGACTTTATATAGACTATACTCATAGATATACCTTTAAAAAGTTTATGCTTCACCTCACCCTGCACAATCTGCACTTTAGACAACCTTCACAAATAAATTCGAGAAGTAAAACAAAATATATATATAAGATCAATAGTTTTTACACTAGAATTTTGTTTGAATCTTCTAAATATCAACCATAAATACACTTTCCCTTCCCAAAACACTCATACATCATGATAAACACTAATATATATACAGTGTGTGTGTTACATAAAGCTCACATTAGGAGTTTGAGATGAAGGAGTGGAAAAGTTTCGTTTCATATATCAATACATTAATCTTTCTTTGATATTTTTCGAACAAAAGAGCGTTTTCTTCAAAAATCATTGCTTCGATCGATTTTTCACACATAAAAATGTCTAAGTAACTTAATTTTGTTGGAAAATATTGAAAAATATCTGTCATTTCAAAGTTTCGGGGTGTGGACCATCAGGGGTAGTCCGTTTCTGACTTTGTAGCAAAACAACTGAATCCTGCATGAAAGCCCATCAAAGCAATTCATTTCTTTAGTCAATCACCAAAATTTGGTTGATTTTGGTGATATTTTGACCCCATCTATACATTCCCAAGAGAAAAAGAGGTAGTTTAGAGAAACTATGTATACTCATGCAACTTAATATTTTGGAAAAGCACTTTTCATGGAAAAATCGAATGAAAATGGAATTAAGGCTGTTTCATTCGATAAACATTGTTCTCCAAATTCGACTCATCAATAATAAAAAACAGTTTTTGAAGAAATTATTGAATATTACTGGAGATTTTTCCCAACACCAAATCGTTATTTTTAACACCTCGATACGTGTTTTGATTACCAAGTGATCATCTTCAAAAAGGAAGAATAAAACTAGAAACTATTGCGAAGCTAACCTTATTTATGCTATATAGGTATCCCATACAGGTAAACCATCCTAGTGAGATGGTATGAAGGTAGTTTTAAAAAAACAAATCATACACTACAGAGCCTTTTGGGAAGTCCAAAAGACAAAGTCGAGAATTCGGAAAAGTCTGGAATTTACGAAATTGAATGTAAGGACTGCGATGCAAAATATTATGGACAGACAAAAAGATCTATTAAAGTAAGATATATGGAACACATAGCACACTTAAAATATGGAAGACCTGAAAAATCAGCAGTCGCCCATCATATTTTGCAACAAAACCATTCCATAGACTTCAGTTCTTTAAGATTAGTTGAACAAGTTAACAACAACAGGCAACTAGATGCCTATGAGAGTGTAGAAATAACTAAACACAATAATATTATGAATAACGATGACGGACATATACCAAAGAGCAAACTATATATCTTGTTAAAATAAAATAAAATAATGTTGTTGGGTTTATTGATTACTACATAATGACACATTGCAAAAATTAATTTGGATATGCAATATTGTGAAATTAATTTTTATTTAGCTGAAAATTGTTTTATATAAACATATATTGTGAAATAATAGATAAGGCAAAATTGTGAAATTAATTTAGGCTGGTATACATACAATGTATGGGTGGTACGCCTGGATGGTTTACCTGTATGGGATACCTATATAGCATAAATAGGGTTAGCTTCGCATTAATTTCTAGTTTTAATCTTCTTCTTTGAAGATGATCACTTGGTGATCGAATCACGTGTCGAAGTGTTGAAAATAACGATTTGGTGTTGGGGAAAAAACTCCAGTAATATTCATTACTACACCAAAAATTCCAAACAGTGCATCATAAGTGAGGAAATTATTCTCTGAAAATGAAAACTAAACAGACTTTCCAAATTAATCTCTACGGATTGATAGATTTATTTTTTGGCGTCATTTCTGGAATAACTTTGGAACTGCTCAGAATAATCTTTTATAATCTTATAATTTTATTTTTCAATAGTACTCTCCTGGTGGAATCCGAATATGGAGAGCAATGAGTATCTTTTCATCTCAAACTTCTGATGGAAGTTTGGTCAAACACTGTAGCTTTCCATTCCGACAGACACCATCAACTCAGCTTTCCCATCTTTCAAAAAACGAATAAACAATAAAAAATACTCGTATTCACATCCTTGGTTGTTCATCTGAATTGTTAACAATATGTAAGACTACAGCATGATGGGGATATCCAAAATGTTTCTTCGAAAATGATCCTCAAGGCAAGCCTACAACAGAAATTACTTTTCAAAAAAATCCAAAAAGGCCTGAAATGTGTTCGTGAGTGTTTCTGTGTGTCATTTTCAGTTTTTTTCCAAGAATGTGGGTCGAGTATCTTTAAAAAAGCTCCCGATTTACTATCCATCCTGCTTCTCGTCTGAAAATAAGTCTACTCGTTTTGTTTTCCGAAAAAAAGCAAGTCAAATACCAATTTCGCGTTGAAATGTATCGTTTCATATATATTTGAAACAAATTGCAGTTCTTGACGTTCAGCGAATATCGGGATAATGTATACCAAAAGATTCAGTTCAATCTCTCCTACTCTAGTTTCATTTCATTCTGAAATGAACTCATCATCTGGAAAGGAAACAATACCTACCAGTATAGACAATATAATACCTTGTCGAAAGCCTTTTGGATGTCAAGGGAGATTGCAATGGTGCAAAAAGAAGCGTTGATATTTTGGGTTATGTGGGTGTGAAGTTCGACTAGTCCTTGTTGTATGTCGTTACGCTAGTCTTATAAATTTCCCAGTTACCTGACTCTTCAGCTCGATTAAATAATCATTGAACTTCTTTTCTTTGTCTTTTCAGGCCTTTGTTCCACCAAAAACAGTTATGGTTATCCTCAGTGGACTGTTCCCATGATAGGATACGATCACTGCTTCGCGAAATTGCTTCACGTTCATTACATTATTCGGAAGTACAACGTAAACAATTCGTACTTCAGTTATTTCAATTATTACATCGGTTCATTTTGCTTCATAATCCACCAAGTGATTTTCCTCCATCATTTTCTTTGAGCTTTTGCTGGACTGTTCATTGAAGGGCATATTGCCTCTCACAACTATGGGTTTTCTAGGTGTCACCGAAGAATCAACTTCCAGAGCCGAATCATTGAAAATAATGAATGAATCAGACCAAAATATAGTTCTTGTAAAATAAAAGAAAGAACATTTGTTATTCAATTGAAAGAGTCAAGCATTTTGGATCCTTGAATTTGCCTTTCTTCCTAGTTATGGATGGGACGTCTTCTCTGGCGTCCCATTCTCTTCTTGGCCGGATTGGAGTACAACTTCC